TTGGCTGAATTCCACGCTCCAAGTCTGAGCTGGTCACTTGGTGCTTTGGCTCAGGCAGGTGGATGTCTCTGCAGGGTCTGTGTTGAAGTTGGTGGCTCAAGGTGATGTGGTTTTGTTGCCTCATCTCTTGATAAAGCTCTGAGATTAGACTTTATTCTTTCCTCACACTTATTCAAGGACTTCTTGGAAGAATAAAGGTTTAAATATGGCCCTTCATTATCACTTTCCTGTTAGGAAAATGCTCAGGAGGAGTTTTCATGTCATGGATCAGCTCAGCCATGAGCTCTCTCTGTTTAGCTCTTTCTAGTACCTACTGATCTTGTCTTAGAAAAGAATTCACAGCATAAGTCATTTTACAGAGAAATCTTACCCTGGAGTGATTTTTCCTCTGAAAAAACACTTTGCAAAACATTTAGCTGAACAATCATCCCTAACTAAATCACAACTCCTTTCCAAGAGAACTTCCTGAGCCACCACACAGAGCTCTTAGCTGAAGTATTTCACCTAACTGAGCCTCCACATCTCCTTGGAGCTCCATTAGTGTGAGGGGATCTGCCAAATCCTGGGAAAAGCTGCTTGCATGGAGGCAGGGCTGACTCCTGGCTGTGCCAGCTCCCTCTCCCCTTTGACTGCAGAGTCACAGCAGCCCCTGGGGAAGGTTCTCAGCTGTTCGCAGGGGATCGGTGCTGTTGGTTCTGGAGGAGGAAACATGAGACTATTCAGAACTCCTGAGTGCTGCTAAGCCTTGGAGGTCATTGTGCAGCTTGGAAAGAGGCCTGGGAGAATGCTGAGAAACCTGACACCTGGAGAAATGCTTGTGCAGAATGGCCTTAGGCTTCCCTTCGTGTCTTTGAGTGTCCCGAAATACCCACTGGGTTCACCTCCTCCTCCAGGGCCATGAGCTGTCCCTGCAGCAAGGACAGGGTAGGAGGCAATGTTTGGTGGGAACACCACTGTGGCTTCCCTGGGGGAGAGAACTGGAGGGATTTAGCTGTTCCCATTCCCCCCTTGGGATTACACACCCTGCAGGGTGTTCAGTCTGTGCTGGGGTGGCCTCACCTCGAGTGATGGGAGCAGTTTGGGGTGCCAGAATGTAAGACAGGTCTAAAGCTGTTGGAGAGTGTCCAAAGGAGGGACATGGGGATGGGGAAAGGTCTGGGGGGGGGGCCAAGGCTGAGGGCACTTGGGTTTTTCAGCTGGAGGAGACTGAGGAGAGCCCTCAGGGTCTGCAGCTTCCTCCCAAGGGGAAGCACCAATCTCTGCTCTCTGTGACCAGGGACAGCACCAAGGGAAGGGCTGGAGCTGTGCCAGGGGAGGGTTAGGTTGGATATCAGGACAAGGTTCTTCCCCCAGAGGTGTTTGGCCACTGAACAGCTCCCAGGGCAGTGGGCACAGCCCCAAGGCTGACAGAGCTCCAGGAGTGTTTGGCCAATGCTCTCAGGCTCAGGGTGGGATTTTGGGGTGTCCTGGGCAGGGCAGGAGCTGGACTGGATGCCTCATCTTTGGAGGTGTTTTCCTCATCCCTGGAAGTCTTCAAGGCAGATATGGTTTAGGGGTTACAGCAGTGACAGGTTAATGGTTGGATTTGTTGATCTTGGAGGTCTCCTCAAACCTTGATGATTCTATGACAATAGAAGAGACCATTCCCCACCTCTCTCCAATCCCATTCTCCAGTTCCCCTCACATCATGGTGGTGTTCTTTCCCCACAGCCCTTCTTTGAGAGCCACTCAGCAAGCCTCAGCCAAGCACATGATGCAGCAGTGCTGACAACATCTGCTCCATGCCACGAGGCTCTACACCCTCTTGTCCTTTCCCCCCTCACACTGGTGTCCTGCTTTCCCCTTTTCCCTCTCACCATGCTGTTGGTTCTTTCCCCATAGCCATTCTTTGAGAGCCACCCAACACCTTCAGCCAAGCTCACAGTGCAGCAGTGCTGAGAGAACATCCTGCTCAACACTCTGTGGCTCTCCATCCTCTGTCCTTTTTCCCCTCACCCTGGGGTCCTGCTTTCCCCTTTTCTCCTCTCACCATGGGGTCCTGCTTTCCCCATAGCCCTTCTTTGAGAGCCACTCAGTAAACCTCAGCCAAGCACGTGGTGCAGCAATGCTGACAACATCTGCTCAATGCCACGAGGCTCTACACCCTCCTGTCCTTTTCCCTCTCACCCTGGTGTTCTTCTTTCCCCATAGCCATTCTTTGAGAGCCACCCAACACCTTCAGCCAAAGAGAACATCCTGCTCAACACTCTGTGGCTCTCCATCCTCTGTCCTTTCCCCCCTTGACCATTGTCCTGTTCTTTCCCCCCCCAGGCTTTCTTCGAGAGCCACCCAACACCTTCAGCCAAAGAGAACATCCTGCTCAACACTCTGTGGCTCTCCATCCTCTGTCCTTTCCCCCCTTGACCATTGTCCTGTTCTTTCCCCCCCCAGGCTTTCTTCGAGAGCCACCCAACACCTTCAGCCAAAGAGAACATCCTGCTCAACACTCTGTGGCTCTCCATCCTCTGTCCTTTCCCCCCTTGACCATTGTCCTGTTCTTTCCCCCCCCAGGCTTTCTTCGAGAGCCACCCAACACCTTCAGCCAAAGAGAACATCCTGCTCAACACTCTGTGGCTCTCCATCCTCTGTCCTTTCCCCCCTTGACCATTGTCCTGTTCTTTCCCCCCCCAGGCTTTCTTCGAGAGCCACCCAACACCTTCAGCCAAAGAGAACATCCTGCTCAACACTCTGTGGCTCTCCATCCTCTGTCCTTTCCCCCCTTGACCATTGTCCTGTTCTTTCCCCCCCCAGGCTTTCTTCGAGAGCCACCCAACACCTTCAGCCAAGAGAACATCCTGCTCCAACACTCTGTGGCTCTCCATCTCCTGTCCTTTTCCCACCAGCACCCTGGTGTTGTTCTTTCCCCATAGCCATTCTTTGAGAGCCACCCAACAACACCTTCAGCCAAGACAACATCCTGCTTAACACTCTGTGGCTCTCCATCCTCTGTCCTTTTCCCTCTCACCATGGTGTCCTTCTTTCCCCATAGCCATTCTTTGAGAGCCACCCAACACCTTCAGCCAAGAGAACATCCT